TGGGATTGACCCCATAGGGCTGCCAGGATCCTTCCTCAGCGGGACATTGATCGGAGGAAAACGGAGAGTAGAATGGAGAAGGGAGCCAAAAACATGACCCACGGTGTCTGGACCGTTATGCCGGCTCATGATAATGACTGCTCACTGCGTTCCATTGATCTATTGCATACACTCACGTTCCCAAGACGAATTGCAAGATAGTTCCCTACAAGGGGAGATGTCCCATAGACGGCGACCAACCGAACCCATTGGGTGAAGACTGTTCTTCCTTCATGTGCTTAAAAAAAATAACTTCAAGGGCTGCAACTCCAGCCGTACAGTAAAGATGTTCATCTCCAGGCTGCGATGTCCACTTCGAAACGGGGGTCCTCTTCTGACAATTGCACCTCGGGCCGCACCCATGGGGCCACACGCTGCCAGAGGCGTTCCGCCAGTGTTGGGTGGGTCACTTCGACCGTGAAGGCGTTGCGGAAGGAGATGCGGGGTCGACCGGGATCGTTTTCCCAGAAGGTCCAAAGACCTTGAGCTTGATGGATGAGAGCCTTGGATCCAAGACATTCCAAAACGGTATTTCTTCGTGGTGTTCTCACTTGAGGCACGTTCAAAGAATAAAGATAATAAAGAGTGAACAAAAATAACAAAAAAGTGTTAGATAATTTTTGCACAATCCCAAGAGGTGGGTTATTATGCATACTGTACATTATGGGAACTAATTTCCAGAAAGTCAACAGCAAAGCAAGGAGCTTCGCACTCTTCTTTCGTCAGGACATTGTCCAAGACGAAGGCATCGCAACCCGGAATCTCAGAGCGGCTTACTGCAGTCTCGCACTCTGGCATCAAGGGGAACATGTCCGGTAAGACTTCTGCCTTGTCCACCACATTGGAGATGGGTTTCGACTTCGATTCATCCACTTCCACCTCTGCCTTCTCAGCCTCTTCCTCCTCAAACAGCTCCTCCACCTCGCCCATCTCTCCCGTCACCACGACCGCATTGGTTGTGGGCGCACCACCCGCGCCTGCGCCCGCGGGATCCGGGACGACCGGCGCTGCACCGAGCAGGAGGCCCCACACGGGGTCCAGGTCGGGGTCCGCGTCCGCCATGGCCTCCACGAGGACCTCGCCATCCGTCGCCATGGCGCAGCGCAGTCCGCGTCCGCGGCGGCTTTTTCCGGTGTGGCGGCCGTTTTTGGGTTGGAGCGGGGTGTTGTTTGGGAGTTGATTTGTGTGTGGGGGGCGGGCTTGGGGAGAAGGAAGAAAACCCTACATCAATCACTCCGTTGCTAGTGGGATGGGATGTCGGAGCTCGCGGGAAAAAACCTAAAAGGCTTAGAACCTCGGAACCTCCTGTGAGGGACAGCAGGCCACGTCCTGGTGAAGGGTGAGCAGTCCTTTAAGGTTTGGCACTGGCTCGCGCCATGGAGTTGTCATGAATGATCCCGGTTTGGCACTGATCAAAGGTGGGCGAGAGCTCGCGGCAATCATGTTGCTTAATGCGGAACGACATGTGTTGACTTTGTCCGGACTGTGTGTTCTCAGCACCAATCATGTCTCCGGGACTGTCTGTCATGGCTGCGGCTGCGAGCAAAAACACTGACACTGCGGCTCTGCATGCTGCCAGCAAACACAAAGCAAAGCAGTGGACATACCGACATACCCTTCAAGGCTTTGTTGTTGACCACCACGGCCAAGTCACAAACGCATGATGATCGGAAACAATCATCAGTTGGGATGACTCGAATGCCGAATGTATTCAACATCGGATGCCACATTCAGACTCGCTATCCAAAGCAAAGTTTCAACACAGAAATCATCCAAACACCCGTGAAGGAGCCAAATGCAGAACCACCAGCATCCATGACTCAAACCACGAGTCGAAGAACCACCTCTCTTTGGGTGCCTCTTTTCGCCACTCGACGTCTTCACCGGTCGCCTCTTTCATGGCCAAGGCCCGCTCCACCACGTCGCCTTCGAGGTGCTCCAGCACCAGGACCTCCGGAGTCCGTCCATCGAGGTCGAGTCGACTTCTGCGGCATGCCTGCCTTCTGGAAAGGGTGTGAATCCCATGCGCCAAGTGAAGAACACGACACCAAGTTTGTTCAGTCTACATACCATGTACATCCGTGTACCTCAACGCGCTTCTGTGCCAGCACATGGCATGAAAAGGGAGGCTTTTATCATATTGTGCGAGTAGCTTTCTCTTGTTGGTGACTCACTTGGGTGACGTCTGACTGGTTTGGCATCATTTGCCCATTGAATGGGAGGGCCATACAACACTGGTCTTCCCAAGTGGTGATTTGTTTTTGATTTGTTGGTACATTGCCATGAGTCACTGCCACAAAAAATTGAGCTACGAAAGAAAGTTCTATGTAATGACCCGATGATTAGCTTAGCTGTCCACACTTTTTTGATCTTTTTTGTTAAGATACCGCGAAGCCATGTATGTTGGTGCAGGACACGAATGAGATGTTGAAGACTCCAGCTGGGTTCGGCTGACTTGCAGCTCGTATAAGAAGACAGTCCTGAGGCAGGTCAGGAACATCGGGGAAAGCACTCAGATAGAAGAAACGCAGGACGGCATAGGACAGCCCTGACTCTTGCTGGTGGGTCTTCATCTTGCCTGCCATCGCCTCTCCCAGCCTGGCACAGGCCACGGGCGGCCGAGGCCACTGCCGCTTGCCGGGCGGCAGGCTCCAAGTAGTGGAAATACATCTCCTAGGCGTGGCAGGCAGGGGTGGAAGCAAAGATGAGCAAAGCAACTAGCCTTCTTCGTGAATGATAAAACGTCTTACCTCTGCCTTTAGTAGACGTCCAATTGCTTTTCCGGTCTTTTGGACTTGCCATCCATCCATACTATTGATCTGTAAGATGTATAGAGATGTATGGGGCACTTAGTGGTCATAATGGGATGTAGAAAAAGAGCTGCATAACATTGCAGAACCATAACTGAAGGCTTGAAGGCAGTAACTGAGGCAGCACATCTCTCTCCCAGGGCAGGAGATCTCCTAACGCTTGGGGATGGGAGAGTTCCCTCTTTCCATTGAATTGCAGGTGCTTCCCATAGTCACCGTAGTCATCGCAAGGCAGGCAATTGGATTCTTACCAGGACGGATCAGGGGACGGACGGATCAGTGAAATTGGTAGGCCATCAATTATTGGAAAACTATAACCTACCTGGCGCATCATTAACCCACACTGTCCATACTCCAAGTGTGAGCTCACACCGAGCGCGGCTGCTAGTAAGGGGGTTCTGAATGGATTCCCTAAGTCACACTAGAGTCACAGGCTTTGATCACGATCTAGCCTCAATTTTGGCCCAGGAGCCGCTTCATGCGCCAAGTAAACCTCCTTGCGGGCTTTGACTTCCAAATAGGCCTGACGAGCCCGAAACCTGAGCCCTTCGGGCAACAGTCGCCTGAGGGTGTCCTTCAAGCTCTGACTACAACGAAATTGCGAGCGCCACAGCTGTGGCCTCGAGACACAAAGTAGCTTCTTGTTGCTAGTAGCGATGGCCTCCACCCTACTAGCAATGGCCTCCAACCTATATAATAATAGCAATGGCCTTCACCTAGTAGCGTCCATTGAGGGACATGAACCCAAAAAAAAGCATATCAAAACACCAAACCTACCTGATTTGACTCGTGTGACGTCGTGTCCATGGCCTCCTCAAACTTTCCAATGAGCTCATCCGCCTGGTCAGCGATTTCAAAAAATAACGGACGATGGCCTAACTGCCGCACGAGAGATCCTCGGGTTTGGCGGCGCAAGCGGGGAGTCCCCAAAAGAAACCATTGCATTGTCAGAAGGAGAATGGGAGCCTCCGTGTTTGTACTTGGACCTTGCAGGCCAAGCACTTACTAAGTGAGGAGCGAATCAAAGTACAGTACTCGAGAACCCATACATAACCTGTGACCTAGGGTCCTTGCCGGTTTTCAACCAAATCCGTCTTTACCTTTTAATTTGCGCAATCATGCGCTATCCATCCTCCTCATTGATCCTCTTGTCGGCTCCACCAGCCGATGTTGCTGACAGAAGCGACCCGGTGCCTTGCCCTCCAAGACCAGCTGTGGCATCAGCAAAGCCACACTCCTCGTCTTCTCCTAGCGCCCACACAGCTCCAGTGGTGAAAGGGGTAGGGAGGATAAACCAAAATTTTACAACTCTCCGCAGTTACGGCCGCCATGCGTGGCCCCTAACCACCAAAACCATCCCATTCGTCCATTCATATCCATCTCTCTGCCATAGGTTGTCTCTAAAATAGCTTGCAGTCCCGACCCCCTCTCAAAACTCTTTGGTTCACATCACAAATCCAAAGTGCGGTGGCTGTGCCGGCCTCCAGTGCCAGCATGGTTTCACTGGCAATGATTTGTGCCAATGGAATCGGGTGCCCAACGAATCGCGTTTCTCTGAGAGCCAGTCACCGCAGCAAGGCGCGACAAAACAAATGAATGAATGGGAAGTATGTGGACATACAAGTTGTTAGCTGAGGCATTGGTGGCGTATATCGGCCTTTGCTGGTAATTGGTATATAACCGGTTGATGACACCACCAAGCCACATATCAGGGATGTGGGACAGGAAATGGTGTGCAATTACATACTCTGCCCAGTGCCCAAGCAGTTTCTGGAATGCAAGCGGCTTCCTGCGCTCACATTCAAACATTGTCATGCCAACGGTGTGGGTCGAAGGAACGTGGACAGAGTACAGCCATGTAAGCCCCCACTTTTCGGAGTGAGTAAACCAGCCATGTTCCCCCTCAACGCCCTACATGAGCCAAAAAACGAATGTCCGAAACCAGCCAGCCCTCTGCCAGGCCGAACCAGCGGGTGGTCGCAATCTGCAAACCATCAGTCTGTTGGTCGTGTGATGATTCATCCGATCCACAAGCCAGGCCAAAGCCAGTCACAACTAGTGCAACAGCTCTCATGCCAACCCCTCACATCAGTACCCCTTAGCCACCTGCAGTGCCCTGCGCCTGGAGGATGCCGGTCTGAGCCCCCAGACGGAGAGGCTAATCCAGCACCCGAAGGATAAGGGCACGGGCGGGCCGACGGGCTTCACATCGTAGAGCATCGGGAATTTGGGCATGTCTTCCCAGCTCTCAAAGGCCTCGGACCATCGCACCGGTCGACCGGACGGCGGAACCGAAGAGGAGTCGTCTGGAGGTCGTGCGATGGAGTCCGTGATGTAACCGGCCAATGAGATACACGAATCGAGGGCGAGACGACTCTTAGCCAATAATGACGAGGTCTTACGATCCAAATGGGGTGGGGGTCAATCAAGATTCATGCATAACCAACCCGGGATATCAGATTCACCCCGGTTACTGCATATTGGATGTATGGGCGGAATCCTTGCCACTCCGAAACCAACACGGGCAGGGCTGCCGCGCCGGCAGCTCAGGTGCCAAGACCTCCGACTCGGGTGCCCGCAGCCGGCACATGACATAGCCAGACCATCCATTGGTCCATGGGGCTGGAAGAGTTACTGTACATACATTTACCATCAATTTACCCCATGTGTGAAACATATTAATATATTCCAAGTTTATGGATTCTCTGGGGTAGCTGGTCGCATTGTTCAATGTCGTTCATGTTTGCATGGTCCACTTGCCCATGCAACAATGGTCTAACATGGTCTAAACATATCTAACCATGGTCACAACGTGCATGGAAATAAAAGTATGCCATGGATTCAGTATCATTGTGACAACATGTTACTGACGCGTGCAGGTTCTGCTGAAGAGAGTGCTGATGATAGAGGTGAGAGTATGGTTTAAGGGCAACATGTCGAGCTTTCCTTATGTTGCTGTGCACATGTGTGACCACATCATGTGTGCACAGCAAAGGGAGATCTCCCAGTTCGACCCCCTGACAGAAACACGACCAGTTCGACCCCATTGTGTTTGGGCATCTCCCCGTGTTCCTCCCGTGTCGGCCCAACGTGTCTCGTCCGGCCTCACTGGTGGACTCTGAGGCCATTCGCAAGCGCCAGGCGCACACCAGCACAAAGCACAAGACACCCCAAATGGCATCCACCTGATGAGTCGAAGGCTTTTTGAAGGAAGAAATATAAGACACTAGGGCCCTAGGGATCCAAGTGCCTTCTCAGAAGGTGTTTGGGGTGGGTTTGGAGGGTCCAGGTGCCTTCTGAGAAAGTACTTGGACCCCTAGGGAGACACAAAAGGTGCGACCTACTCCAAACAATAAAGTGAAATTATCCCTGTAGGAGCAAAGCTGTTTCCTTCGATTGAGACTTGGAAAGGGTCTAAGCTTTTTGTAGATTGTCCGTCTCAAGATTGTTTCGTCTTCGCTGAAGTCAAGCGTTGTAGCACTTAGTGATCTCACAACCCCCAACCAAAAAATAAAAGCACATCGAGTCAAACAAATAAAAACAAATGCCTAGATGCGGTCCCCCAGCATCGCATGCGACAAGTAGTGCAGACTCTTGATGAGTAAAAAGCCCAGTTGAATGGAAAAAAACCTGATCAATATGGATGCTTTATGGGGCTTTATGAAACAAGAGTCTACACTGGAATATACTGGAATCATCAGGTTCCCTCAAAAGGACTCAACACGTGAGGGACTCTTCAGGGTCTACGACTCCGCATCCCCCCAACGACTCGGCTTCTCTTCGGGATCAAACGCAATGGAACCATGACTCCCACGGTCTCTGAGCCCTCCTGGCACGAGCTCTGTCCGCTCTGAGCTCCATGTTCCGCAACGGAACTGCACGTGGACAGCGGCACGGAACTTCTGCGAAAAACCAGCACGGGCGCCTTGTAGAACCACCCGAACCAAAAGATCTCCCGAGCGCAAAGCAAGACCTCAGAGCTTGGACGCTCGTCAATCCCAAAGGATCCATTCCAGACGTTCCATGTACGACATATCTACGCTATCCTGCACTGGACGTCCTGCAGTGTTCCCAGTGTTGGACCCTGAGTTCACGTCACATCTAGAGCGGTAAAAGTAAGCCTGAACTTAACTACCAAGTGGGTGATGGAAGGGTTCCGGGGTTCCAGGTGATTATTGAGCTTAAAGGCAACACCTTTGGAACTCCTGTTAGGCAACTCCTCCTCCCTTGGACCCCAAAAAACAGCATGCCGAGGAGCCACACACAAGGGCCCGGGCACCGCACCAAGTCCTTGCCTTGGTCGATCGTCAAAAGAAACAGAAAAGCATGCTGGCTGGGTGCCTCCCTTCAGCCAAGGAGGTTTGGGTGCGTGCATCTCATCCAATAAAAGTGGATATCCTTCGTAGGGACCGGCAGACCTTCTGGCAATGGCTTGCGGAAGAGCGGAAGATCGGGTGAGGAACATCCCCAGGTTTAGCCCATCTGATGGTGCAAACCCAAAATGGATGTCCTGGACCGTCGTAACTGATTTGGCGTTGCCTGGGTCAACCAACCTTCTTCTCTGTAAAACATGGACTTCAGAGTGAACCAGGCTGTATTCCAAATGCACTTGATCATTAATAACTCATAATCTGGACACCTGGAGCACTTGATGACCCGAACATACGCACCAGCCTGATCTTCGAACATCTTTGAACCATCATTCACCTCTTCCAAGATGGAAGTGCATGCTTGACACACCATCTCGTCAAGGGACGCCTGGCCCAAGGCGATCAGCAAGAGGGTGCCAAGGCCCAGGAGACGAAACACCAAGCCTGCAACCAAACACGAAATCAGATCATCAGGTCTTTGAGCAATGTTTGGTGTTCAAAGTTCTACTAGTTCTACTAGGATTCTACTAGTGATGCTTTTGAGAATTCCAGCTAACAGCTAACAGTTAGTTAGAACCTTCACTTGATGCATCATGATGCATCCACCCTCCGCACAGCGCAGCATCTTCTTCCCACACACCGTGTCGCCTGCAGCCAACCTCGAACCCAGCGGCACCGCCAGCATGGCGAGCGCGGCCGAGACGTTGGCCAAGGCCAAGGCGGAGGACTGCGAGCGCGGGCGAGGGCGACGAGGTGGTGGCCGGGCCTGGGGAGGCCCAGGCAGCGGAGGCGTGGCCCAGGCACGTGCTTCATGTGTTGTTTCCTTTAATTGAATCAACAACACCCATGTCAAAACCCATGAAGCACCCATGTTTCAGTCGTCATGTTGTTTTCATGTGTTGTTTCCGTATTTTGAGAGGATTTAATGTCAATGCATGTCAATGGAGTGGCGCATGCCAAGATATGGTGAAAAACGTTTGTTTGTGGATACGTTAGAGCTGCACACCCTGGGGTCCACATAGATCCTCACAAGTTCAATAGCCATCTGTCCCCTCCTGTTCTCGCCTGGATTGAGCCATCGATGATGGAAATGCCACCTTGGAGGTCTGATCAAGTCAGGAAATCAGGACTGATCAATCCTTTTTCACGCATCAATCAAAGAATCAAACACTAGGGCCATAGGGATCCCCATGAGGCGTTCTCGCTCGTGAGATGCTCGGAGTCCGGGACGGGAAGAGCTTAGCTCGTGAGGACTCTTGCTGAACCCAAGACACTGGTCATGAAGAAGTCCAGAGTGTAAATCAGGGTCCAGCACACAGCCTCACTGCCGCGGGGCACCCTAGGAAATTGCACCCAGCCCAACCAAGGTTTCACAGGGCTGGAAATTAAAACAGTGCAGGTGGCACCATAGCCTTCTCACTTCTGATCAGTGTGGGAAAAAAAGAACACATCCAAAACCCATCACTCCTGGATGGAATCCCATCTCGAGCACCTCTTGGGGAAAGGCGGCTCCTATTTTCTCCTAGTGTCTTTCTTGCCTCCTTTGCCTTATCAACTCGACTTCGTCGCCGCCGAGGCCTCCGATGAATCAAATCAGGTTCGATCCACACCAAGCGGCTGTGACCGCCAACGCCACGCGGTAGATCACCACCTTCCGAGCCGCTTGCGGTGGAGGCAAGCGCACCGGCGGGGTGGGGCGCAAAAGAGTCATCCAACAAAGGTGGGTGCAGCTGACAGTCAATTCACCCTGAAGGAGGATTGATCCAAGCAAAATGGACTCGATTCAGCCGTGCCTCTGCTAAGCTGGCCCAAATTGACCGGAACTCAAAGACCCTCAAACGATCTTCAGTTGCACACTTTGGGCTTTGAATTTCAGCTCTCCCAAAATTAAGGGTATCTGTAGCAGTTGGAGATGGACAATGAAACACTTACGTAAAGCGTACTGTATTCCTTTGAGGCGCCTGTACCCAGGACCTTCGCTACATGACTGAATTCAAACTCGGCAGGAACATCATGGAACATCTTCCAGGGACTTGCTTCCAGGCATGAAGGAAGATTCCAGGACATAAAGGGGCATCCTATATGAAGGGACTTCCTACTATATCTTTCCCGAAATTTCCTACCCAGGAAGACTCTGGATTCCCGCCATCCACAAGCTTCAAACTTGCCCCATCCACCCGCTGCCTGGGCCTGCTCCTCAGGAGTGGGTCCGCCCCCGCCGCCGCCGCCCGCGCGGCCCGGCTTCCCCACGAAGTCAGAGGACAAATCCTGGTGGCGCCGGGTGGCGGCAGCCAGGGGTTGGTTCATAGCACCCCAGCTTTCTTCGACAAGCAGTAGGATTGTTTCACGGCAACTCTAGTTAGCCAGGATGGATACTGACTATGGAAGTGCTACATTTACACTTTTGTGATCTTCACCTGTTGTGGGGTTAGTCTGCCGCTGTCCTCTATCTGTTTGGGCTGCATGTGAGGAAAACACGATTCAAACAACATACCTCGAAGACTCTTCAACACAATGGTTGTTCCACATATATGTTGTATACTGTATACTTTTCGCATGTATGCCGGTCGGAGACAGTTCTTTGCACGATTCAGGACATAGATGGCAACATTTGAACAATTCGCGTCATCTGTGCGTGAGGCTCCAAAATAGTCTCACCAGGCTTGGAACGTTCTGAAGACATCCCGCATCAACAAAGTAACAAATCCATACAGTAAATCTTCTCAGTTTCCTCAATTACAGCTATCAGTAAAGCACTTCAAAGAAATTCATACTCAACCGCGTCAGCCACACCGTCCTTGGCCACAGGTACTGTGGAGCTGGCACGCAACAAGGGTGTTCTGGGGGACACCGTTGCGCGCGGTGTGAGAGGCACCTTGGAAGCTGCCAGCATCTTGATGGAAGACATCTGGAAAACCACGTGAAGAATAACCTGATGGATGGCTTTGGGAGCCACAATCGTGCAAGAAAAACAGTGAAAACCTGAGCAACTTTGAAGCAATTCTTCAGTGGGCAAGTGCAAAGAGATTGGCCCAGGGCCCGCATCTAGAACAGCTAGCAGCTAGCATTTACCAGGTTCCGCCTGAAGTTTCTCCAATGCAAGAGAGGCCAAACGTGTCCGGTCCTTTCGCTGAATGCACCCCTACAAACAACATGTGGCGTGGTGGAAACTCATGCTCCAAGGGTTCGCAGATTTTGCTGCCCAAGGCTGCGTTTCTCTGGGGGAGGCATATGCAACTCAAATCAAAATATGTTGACTTATATTGGTTCATGCCAATGGGTTGCAAAATGGGATGAGGAAATAGAAGGCATGGCTACAGTATATGTATCTGCGTTGCTCCACCCAGGCCCGGGAAAACCAACTCTGGGGCTAGGGGTTTTGATGCTTTGGAATCCTGAGCCTGTTTTGTTCAGAACCTGCCTGCTGACATCCTCCCAAATTGAGCCCTCTGTTGATGAGGCTTTTCATATCTGTATACATAGTTATATACAAAAATATATACATAGTTATCTGTATACACAGTTATATATATTATACAAAAACACCTGCATATCTGTTCATGATGGATTCTGCAGGTCCAAGCTTCTGAACGTCTGGATGCCGCCCTTCTTTTCAGTGCCTCTGGACCCCGGAACCGGTCAAGTCACAAAGCATTGGCTGCCTCCCACAGCAGCCACCTTGGTCGCACACGTTGTTTTGAGAACCAGGTCACTTGCAAAACATGGCTCTCACCAGGTCACTAGGTCCCTGAAATGATCATGGCTACACTTGCATGGCCCTGATTTCGGATGACCATAACATCTATCCGCCTGTCCAATTTTTGAAGAGAGTTGAAGACACCTCCTGCTTTTCAGGAAGATTTGAGCGTCTCTTTCACCCGCTCCCTCCGCCCGCGAAAACCGCTTGCCCTCGATCGTTCACCCCACTCTCTTGAAGTCGTCAATTGACCAACCTTGAGAGCCGAAAGACCTGATGATCCTGATGTAGACTCTTGATTCATAAAACCTCCCCAAACATCCCCAGACATGGATGATAAGGCCTCGCCAGCCTGGGGGGAGTTGAAAGATCATCAAGAGTCTCCATTCTTCCTCCAACGCACGTTTCAAACCAACTCTCTCCACGCCACTGCAGCCACTGCAGCCGCCACAAGCTTCCGCGGCCGCATCGACCGGCATGGCCCGCGCATCGACCGGCGCGGACACGTGGCCTCCAACCTAATGGCGATGGCCTCCCAAAGACCTGTGGAGCTGAAGTCAGGTAAAGCGGGGAAGTTCTTAGATGGACGGTGTTTTCTTAAGCAACATGTCCCTTTCTGGGCTCTTTGGGAGAGCGGATCGCTACCCCACAAATATTGCAGCTATTCAATGTTGCATAACTATATATAAATAAGTAATGTGCATGATCTTCAGGGTTTGGGGTCCAAATTCGCCCCCAATCCGCAAGCATGAAGTGGATATCGGATAATCTAGTATGGTTTGAAGCTTTCTACATGATGCTCGAAGCGCAAGCAAGGGTGTGGACGCTCTGTTTCGCTACTGTTGCTGCAGTACAATATGGCATGTAACGTTCAGGTTCTATCGAAGTTGGGACCAAACATGACCACACTGTTCATTGATTCGCTTGCTCTTTTCATTGCTGGTTTAAAACATCGCATAATCTCACAGTGATGTTGAGCGCAAAGAAACAAAAACATGACCGGCCCACACTCTACTAATTAGGGCCTATATAGTAGCTCTGCTAAGGCCGACGAGGCCGAGGCGGCTGGGAGCTCTGAGCGTTGTCGTTGACACAAGACTGCTTGCTGCAGTAAAAAAACTCACATGGACCCGGGTCGAATGGCACCCGGGTCGTCCGACGGTTGTCCTCGAACGCTGCACCAGTGGTTTTTTACAGGGGCCGCCTTCAGGGGGTGACACACTAAGGCTCATCAGGGCACACCTGGCACACCTGATATCAGGATTAATGATTACTGATTACTGTGATGATCCATTTATCCTCTGCATTCCTCTCATCTCTTCATGTCTATTTCTATGACTGTGGGTACCCAACTCGACCCTACAGAATCTCTTCCGCTCACATTCACCCCCGCGCCACCCAAAACCCCTTGAAGAGGCTCCGACGGCCTCGCCTCGGGTGGTGACGATGCCGATGCGGGGCAAAAACACAAACACACACATGCCCCTTATCCATGTGGCGTTGCTGTGAGAAAACGCTCGGCATCTCACTCTGTGCCAAAACATGCCAAAGTTGTAAAGAGCATGCACACACACACACACACAAAGAACATCCCCATGAGCAACTACGCTCTGTGCCGAAACTCGCCATCGATGAAATGATATGAAATGGAATGTCAATTTCCATTTCCTTATTTACGCCTTGAAGTTCGTCTTCGTCCTGCCGTAGGGGGTTCAATCTCAAAGTCAAATCCAAATTATATATCGCGCACGCTTCGGACGGGTCGAGTCCGAGATGAGGCACTCAGCATAGCAGAGTGGCCCCAACATCAAATCCAAATCATGCTCTGGCGTTTGCTGATCCTCTTTCCCCAAACCGGCACGTCGCTGAGATGCCCTGGCGGTCGGTGTCCACCAGCTCCTGCGGTGGTCGCGAATAAAAGGCCGGTTGCCGTATACGTCTGTTGAGCTAAGAGTGGCCGCATTTTTGGAGGAAACGAGAAGCTAGCAGGTTGGAGGCCATCGCTGCTAGGGTGGAGGCCATCGCTACTAGCAAGAAGCTACTAGTAACAAGGGACCTGCTGCTCGCAATGCTTGTTGGATTCTTTTGCTGTGCGAACGGGCCAGCGGGTCGTGGGGGAATGGACCAAGTTCTAAACGACGTGCTTTTTCACGCATCAACCAGGAACTCGAGATCCAATTTTAAACAGACTGGTTGAGGTGGACCCCCCAAAAGCAAAAGGAATTGAACTTGCTTACATGAACGGAAATACTCGAAAAGGATTTAAGGTCTTTTTGAAATCACCATGATAAGCGATGTTTAAAGGTCATTGAAGACATGCAATGCTGTTCAAGGGGGAAGGGCACTGAAGGCACTACCTTCGGCTCGAGAAACGCACAACCAGTTACACGCATAGCTTTTGCAAAAGAAATGAACTAATGGCTGTAGTTGGAGGCCATCGCTATTGGCTACTGGGTTGGATCTCTACAGTGATCTCTCTATATATATAAAAGCCCGAAACAGGGTTGCAGGTTGCTGGGCGAGGGGCCTTGGAGCGGCGCAGTGCCTCCCAAAGGAAAATATGCAATCTGCTTTTTACTAAGGCAACAGTTAAACAAACAGTCAAGAAGCCACCAAAAGCCATTTCAAGCCTCCCCAGAACAAGGCCCCCCCATATTTCCAGCTATGAAATGAGAGTATGCAAGTAACATCATCCCTTGAGGTTTCCGACATGGTGGTTGGTGTGTCTAGCAGGCATCTGCTCTGTGAAGCTGTCTCAGTGGCCATACGCACCCTGTCATAGCCATTTTTAGATGCGTCTGGGCGCATCTATACATATATATATATATATACCGGACCCTTTTGTTTTCATCATCATCACAGTCATCCCAAATATGTCGAAGCTTAAGACCTAACCTAGAGGTCTAATTATTAGTTTAGCTTCTTGGCTCATCCCATCGACCATAGGAACAATGCCCCTCCATCGACCACGAGATTTCCACATCAGCCACCTTGGGCACCGTGTCATCCACGTCGGCGCGGCCCACCTGCGGGGATTCCCACCGGCATCTGGCGGTGGAGGAATCAGGGATTCCCGGCAAGCACCGTGTGACAACGAAGGGAACACCAAATGTCCAGGTGGGATCATTAGTTTCATCTCTGGGTCTTTTTTGGGGGGTATTGCGTGGAAGAGTTGAATCATGGTGAATCGTTCCTTGGACTAGTGACTAGAAAAAAGAACACACAGCAGAAGATGGAAGTTGGCAAAAGATGAGATCATGCAATTTGATGAACTTGCTGGGAGGTCAGTGCCATTCTTGTCGGACCTCCACTGCGTTGTAGGGAACCACCGGGGCCGGCCGGTACCGGGCCGTCGGTGGGGACCAATCGGTCCAGTCACGCGCGAGGCAGGAACTGTTCGCCGCTGTTAGCCGTTAGCCAGTCTGAATGATGATGGTGGACGACACAAAAGAAGTCATGACACGTTCACATCCTTGCAGTGCGCGGGGGGAGTCACTCACGACTTTAGGGGAGTCCAAGAAAGCTCCCGGAGTTCACTTGTCCCATGCTCTGCCACAGCAATCTGTATCCTCTATCCATTTGCATCCAAACCTCTATGTATGAGGTGCACAAGAAAAAGAAGTTGAAACAAATCTACATGAACATGAATGAAGAGAGAGAAAGACAGACAGACAGACAGACAGACAGACAGACAGACAGGCAGGCAGGCAGGCAGGCAGGCAGGCAGGCAGGCAGGCAGCCAGGCAGCCAGGCAGCCAGGCAGCCAGGCAGCCAGGCAGCCAGGCAGACAGGCAGACAGGCAGACAGGCAGACAGACAGACAGAGAGAGAGAGAGAGATTTGTTTAAGAGGTATGTGTTCTCGATGGTGAAACATTCCGGCGATGGCCTCGCCTCATAGCATCTGGGTGGCTTGATCTGCCGCAGGTTCTCCTGGCGCCTCCGGCAACTCTCCCAAGAACGGTTTGAAGACATCACTAGAAACAGCACGACCCAGTTCGGGTGGCTATTGGAAGGACCAATTTGACAACATTTAATACATAGTGACTATAAAACACCCCTTCCATGGTGCAGGAAAAGATTATATACTCAATCCGCTACACCAAGTGACAGGGGAGATGATTTTGGTCTGATTCATGTGCAGCCTAGTGAGGACTCCTGAGGACTCCGCATCATCATCTTCGTGGCATGGCGGTAACCCTCAAAGGTTTCAAGTGAAACATTCTATAACCACTCGCCCAAGCACTTATGCCTACATTGGGCTGGGAAACCTCAACAGGCCGATGGCTGGAAGGTCATTCGCACCAATTGCACAAACCCTTTCAATGTCTTGGATGTGTATCCGTATCCAACCAGTTGCGTTCTGCGCCATCCACTATGAAGTGCCGAACTCAAACATCACCAGCATGAGATCTGCGTTTCTGCATTTACCAAGGCTTCAACCACCAGTGGGCGTTTTCAGAAATAGTCCTCTCCAGTGAATCCAGACATATCGACAAGAACTGACCCAGTTCTTGCTCTTCACAGTCATGACATCACCACCTCGTCGAGCCGGTCGCAAGATCGATGGAGCCCCGGCAGGACGGCGGTCTGGCGCCGGCGCGCCTGGGTACCAAGTAGTGGCCACCCTCTGCGCCGTTGGGCCGCGGCTGTGCTAGAGGTCCTTCAGCAAAGGGCCTCCTGCAAAGGGTGGCGACCGTGGGGAGCCGTGGGCGGACGAACAGAAGAAGTTGGAGGGAAACATGTATACTGAAAGTTGGGAGACCAACATTGGAGGGATTTCCCAAAAACTACTCGTACAAAAAACACGTAGCTTGTTGCTTCTACTTCTTGAAGAAACACCTCCGCACCCGCTCCTCTGAAAATGGTGAGGTGCGATCTCCACCGCCGGCGACGGTGGCCTGAGAAAAGGACCGAACATGGCACTCCAACGGTTGAAAAGGGATAGCTCTAAAGGATTTATATAAGGATTTGGATATTTTTGATGGTTTTGTAATTTGTTCTCTTTAGGCTTGGTTGGTTTGTTTCGATTTGCTGCTGGGCAGGCTGGGGTTGGGGCGGCAGCGCCTGTGCCCGAAGGATGGAAACTTCCTCGCATGCAGCTTTGCTCCCTCTTTCTTCCTTACGCTTCCTTATGCCATATGCCTCCTCCGTATTAAAGAAACGAACCAAGCAAAAGAAGCTAGATAAACCTGGATAATGAAAACAGGGAGAAAAGGAAAAAGCAGAACAGCTAAGAAGCAGAAAGGAAGAAAAGAAAAGGAGAATGCAAAAAAAATAAGCAGAAGGTAGAGAAGCAAAGAACAAGCAAAAAAGCAATCAAAAACCAAAGCGGAAAAACGAAACCGAGGAAGCAAAAAGAAACAAGAAACTGCCGACTTAGACTTAGATGATGGACTTGGGACTTCTGCCTCTCTAGGTCTAGGTTGGTACCAAACAACCCCCTTAACAAAACATACTAAAGGACCGGTGCGCTCGGTCCGGTGCCTGGATGTAGAGTCCCATGGTCCATGGGGGGGGGGGGGCAGAGGGGCCTATCAGAAGGGTCGGCGCAAGGAAACTCCAAAGGCAATGCAACTGCCGGGACCCTAGCACTGAAATCGTTCACCAAGTCATTTGGATCCTTCACATGATCGTTCACATCCCTCAGCTCTCACCATCTCTCCCCGTCGAGATCGACGGCTTGTGTTCAACGACTCGAGTCTGGTCGGCGGAAAAAGGCGGCACAAGAAGAGCCTCGTCGATCGAAGAATCACGGAGGATCCGACTCGCAGAAAGGGAAGACCCCTGAAGTGTCGTTGGACGTCCTTTTCCCAGACACGACTAATGGGACTGGTAATGACAATACATACATTGGGGTGGTTTCAGGGGTCAATGTAGGCATATATACCATACATGGAGTGTCTGGGTTTTAAGAGGACTTTGATGTAGAGATGCCACGCTGGTGCAGGTGATGGACCGGACCACCAGGTGGTCCATGTCCTTCCACGTCCGCACCGTCGTGCCAAGCACGGACTGAGACTTTCTGACTTTCCCTAACTTGAAACAAAAGATCTCCACCAACTGCTCTCCCAACCACCAACTGCTACATAGTGCCAACCCACTGCTCTCGGTCTCTTTTGCCACCAGTGTCGCCCAGATGGTCTGGCTTGAAACGCATTTCACGCCCATATGGACCATCCATGCCATGCTACGCGGAAAATCGGTCGAGCGGACTAGCAAATCGAACATGAACCTACGCGAGCGGCTGCAGTAAAAAGTGCATGATACAAAGTGAGGCTGATGTGGGGAAGACACTGCAGGAAATAAGGCGCACGCATTTAGAAAAGAAAACGAACACCATATCACTGACAGTCAATGTGACTGTTGTCTATTTCATGGCGACTGTCGCCGCCGGATCATATAAGTTATATATAACAAATTCATGCCCCACCTGACCTGGTCCCCATGGCACGATCTGCGTACCTCACCCCATCCATGGGACTGGAAGAGTTATCTATATACCTTTACCATCCTTTACCACTACCTTTACCGTTAGACCCATCCATCTGGTCGTTCAACTCCTCACAGGTCGCATCCTGTGCAAGCCAATCGCCGCTGTTTGGTGGCTTTTCATCCTGCTTTCACCCACTCCGTGGCTCCCTAAGCCCACATGGAACCTGAAAACCACTAGGGTTGTAGAGGAAACTTCTCTTCCAAACTTCATGTGAATCTTCCTGGGTGTTGTTTTGCGCCCCAACACACGATCTGTCTGGGACTGGCAACTTCATGCCACCCCGTTGACCACTTCAATCACCCCCAAGTAGCAAATAGACCAGTCCGGTTGCGTTTGATATTTGCTGGTTGCTTGAGGAAGGTGCACAACGGCACCACGGAGTCATTGTGTCATACTCTATATTATTTTTTAGGTACAAGAAGCTACTAGTAACAAGGCACCTGACTACTATAGTAACAAGAAGCCAAATGTTTATAATTGTGTAATATACTATTAATATGTTTCTATTTTAACATATGTTATCTGCCTTTTACCCTCCATCGCTCGCGTGGGAGAACCGAAAAAGGGGCTCAGTAGACCTCCACGTGGTATCGGTCCGCCTTCCTGGACCAGTTTGGACCGATGAGACGACCGGAGAGACGGGACGACCGGGACCAGTGATATCCAACCAGACTCGAAGAGCTACATTTTCCAACGGAAGGTCAAGGATGGTTTATGGCTTGGCCCCGCTCTTTGGGATTTGAGCCAGTGAGGGGCTGGCTAAGGCCTTCCTCTCAACGCTTGCCGGTTGATGAACCTCAAGCCTTTCAAGCTGGAGAGATCAAACCAATTCCGGAGACGGGGGGTCTCTTTCATCAATCGTCAGTATGACTCCTCCATCTCCCTGCACTAGACATCGGTCCCGAGATGTGCCGAAGCAGCTGGGCTTCAAGTGATGAAAGGTGGCTCAAATGGGGTAAGAATTAACTAACTGGTTTTGAACAGAACGACGCCCCGTGTTCCCGTAGAAATGACGAGTCTGATATCCAAATATCTCCGATGTAGAGGACCCAAGGAGCCAGGGCTTCTCATGACTCTCTGAAGCAGAAGGGGCAACCAGTGGCAGTTTACCCGTGGTAGTCTACCAGTATATAGTAGTCCACCAGTGGTAGTCCACCAGTGGTGTCTACCAGTGATGCCACTCCCCAGAAAAGCGAGGTTTAGTGCCAAATCTTACCCATCGATGGCATCGCATGGTGCATCGAGACGTGGAATGTAGTGGACCATGGTGCGACCATGTTAGTGGGCCAACGCATCAGTGCTCTTTCGTGCTATTGATATTGATGTAAAAAAGAGTTGAAATCCTGCTAAGCTTTGTTTGTGTTGTTTTGCAAGTCACTTCATCTGCAATGAATGCCTTATAGGGAAATAGTGCCTACATGTGCCCACCAACAGCTATTCGCGGTTCATTGGTTTCTCTGGTGAAGTGCGAACAGCCAGATGCAGCATCCTTCCCCTGTATTCTCCAGGCATCTTCATGGCTTTGGCAAACTCGGTCCACACCAGGCCGTTCTTCTCGGCAATGGGGCCGAAGCACTCCGCCATGCCACTCTCCATGCCTGGTCGTCTTGTGCTGATCATGCCCAGTTCTCGACGCCCCGGCGAACGGGTGAAACCGTTTCTTGTGGCTTGAAGTAGTTATATAAAGGTCAATGACCAACCACCAAACAGAACATAGTGATTCCCAAAGTTTCCCAAATAGATAGGAACTAGATAGAAACGGTTCCCAATATATACCAATATATACTTTTTTTGTGGGGACCTACGAACTTCTATCTATTCGGGGTTCTCTTCATATGTCATTGCCATTCGCTGCCCCAGCAGTTCCATTCCGGTGAGACCCATGCAGGGCTTGATCCAGGGCGGAACGGCATCAAAAAGGGCAGCCTTCGACCCTGACATAGAGTGCTGCCTTGGCCACCCCCTGCCTACCCAAAAATGGATGTGAAACTCCAATGAACGGAGGGGGTCCCTCATGTGGGGATAGCCGAGGCTACCTTTTGTGATATATTGGGTTGATGATGTCTGAGGGTGGGGACAGAAACCACCTATTTTGCTTGAAAGCACGCAGTGAATATTCTTCAAGATCTGTGCAGCTATGTGAAACCTCACTACAAGACCGATCATTGCGGATCCAGACCGACGGCTGATCGTGTACTGTCCAGTCTATACTGTCTATGTGCGGTCATCATGGTGGTTCCCTACTGTTTGCACCACCAACTGACCTCAATTCAAGATCCTCCTTTTCTGCCAGCCGAGGCACCCTTCAAGCCACACATGTAGACATGGGTCTTCTCATCCTGCATCAACTCCCAAAGCTCTTCAGCATACTCAGCCATCCTAGGTCGCCGCGCGACCGCGTGAGCCCCGGTCGGCGCGCCCGGTTCACGCGAAAGGGGAAGGTTCGCCCGTTTCAACATGAGGTACACTTGGTACATGTCCCACAGCGGGACGTTAAACCCTTGTTGCTAAAGACTGTAGAGCTCTCCATTTGGAGGATTCAGGATGCTTCTCAACCTCAAGCCACATCGTGAACCAAGGTTGTTTGAAGAAAGTAGAGGCTTGCACTGCCACTTGGTGCTTTGTTCATCTTTCTTCAGGTTGGATCTGGAACAAGAAAGCTCAGGAGTGGGGGTCTGTTATTGCGGGCTTCAGGTCGAGTCACTTGGTCTGGATGTACATCTTCTGCCCCGCAGCGTTCTTCTGCTCGCGGCTGACGGCGTAGTCGTAGCGGAACTGGTCGGGGTAGGCCTTCTTGTAGGCCTCATGCTCGTCATCGTAGAGCAAGGACTTGGAATATGGCACACCTTGGCTGAAGCCAAAGCCATGAGGAACCCCCCATGAAGCCCGTGAAGACTCTGGACAATTGAAGCCGATATTCCTTTACAATCCACTCTTTAAGGGCACCGTGTTAATCTGGTTTTAGGACATCAGAACTACAACGTCTACAACCCCCGCAGCCCAGCCCGCTCCATCCGCCCCGAAAACAGCTGGGATATTGGCCTCCGGTCTGTCTCTGGGGCTCTCCAACATATATAATCATCCTGGACTAGATAGAATATGGGAAAATTCAAAAAAAAACAATGGGCAATGGGAAACTGGTCGTCTTTGCGGATGGGTTCATGCTTTAGGGACTCTAGATGAATATGGGTTACAGCAAGGCAGGAGTGTCTGCCCAAATTTGAACTACTGAAGTGGGATCATGCTCCATCCTGAGCTGAGAGCGACTTGCCAATCGAATCCCAACGCGACCAATAGTTGGACCAAGATCATGGACACGCCAAGACTGACCTTCTGATACTTCTCTACCTGCTTTCAGAGCACGGATGCTGATGTGGCATGATGCGGCACACCAGGTCCACATGGAAAATTGGGGAAAACCGATGACCGGCCCCCCACATCTTCAAATCCTTCCTCAAGCCATTGCTCCACAAACCGACACACAGACACATCATGACAAAGGAGCCCATGAAGAGCCAAGCCAGGCCCTTGAACTTGCGGCCACCATCACCGGCGCCGGCCTTGTCGTGGAAGAGCAGCCTGAAGTTCGAGGTGACCAACATGAACATGTGCTTCGAGCTTTAGGCACCGCAAATGTTGCAATCGGTTGTTGATTGGGATCCTGAAGAACTTTGAAAACGATGATGCAGCATGCAGAACAAAGCCAAAGTCCAAAGTAGGATCACAAACCACCGCTGAACTGCGGCACCTGAGGAGTTTACGAGTCAAGTCTCACTGTTTTCAACAGATCCGCCCACCTCAGATAGGAGCGCATGGGTGCAATGCCAGTGCCAGTGGCCAACATGATGATGTTGGCCTGGCCGGGCCCCTCGGTCTCCATCGGCCCCCCTCATGCGACCATGGATCCCCAAAGCTCCAAACAGCTCCATTAGAGACGGACGGACTGAAACTGTGACCGGGCTGCAAGCGGAGGGCACACAACAGTTGGGCCGCTGGATGTGCAAACTTGTGGTTCTTCTGCCGTGCTCCGAAAGATTCTTGATGTAAACAACCCCAGGAAATAGAGTCGGGTAACCTATGTGGTGCAACAAATAGTTCCTCAATGTTCCTCATCAGTAGCTGAGCTCTAGGTTGGTGATGTTGGTGTGGGAGATAGGTCCAAATGGGTCCTAGCCCATGCCGAAAGTCAGCTTCCACCTGCAGGTCGCATACACCCCCCCAGTCCAGGCAGCCTCCGGATCCTCGGGCAGCAGCATCTCTGCTCCCGTCGGGCCGGTGATGAGGACCTCGTCCCCCGGAGTCATGTCGCAGATGTGGTTGGAGCAGACCTCGGCCACCGCGGCTTTGGAACCGGCCACTCCGAGGGCCCAGAGGGCCACACTGGGCGGAAGTCAAAGACACACTCTGAAAAGAACATCTAAGCTCAATATAGCTCAATAAGAACCTCTGTAGCCAGGTCATTTCAACTGGGCAATTCAATATCCCTATCCAAGTGATCAACCTTAAACCTCATTCCTAGATCCGGATCAGCTAGCGCTTAAACAATTCCTTAGACACGTCCTCTACTGGGTCAAAAGCGGCATATGTACCAAGAAACAACTCTGGACCATTCTTCCTCTCAAACCCGACAACCTCTTGAATCCTCAACAGAAGACTCTATTGACATCTCTTGTCGAAAAACACTCTTGGCGCATCCCATCTGGACATGGCCTTATACTTCGTCTTATACATATAATCTTGCAAGAACACCTTTTCCAAAGGGGCCTTTCACCTGCTACATGATGCATATTGGAGGGGTCACTGCCACAATGAACCTAAATTAAATGACAAAAACGGGAAGGTCAACCTACCATGACATTGGCTTGGAGTTCGAACCTTTGATCAACACTAGATATCCAGAACAAACACTCTTAGAAAATGACACCGGAACATAGAATGTAGACTCTTGATTAACAACCCCCCAGAGGATGTCCAACTCAAATTTGGGGGTTTATTAATCAAGAGTCTACATTGCCCTCCCAGTCCCCCCACCACAGAGGCCCACTGGCCCCCTGCTCTTGGCGGTCTTCACTGGCCCCTCACTTTTTCTGGAAACCAAAGGTTATGTTTAATTAAACAGGGCGCCCCCGATCCCTGAGCATATAGGTTCAAGGCACTCCACGGTAGACCTTGTTCTCCGGGAAGGCGGTGCCCGCCTGGTGCGGTAGCGCAAAGCGTGGGGTCTTGGGCACGGTCTCAGGCTTGCGTTTCCCAAAGAAGCTGTCGTTGGCGTGGCGAGCAACATGTCGAACATAATCATGGATCCGAAAAGGTCCCCTAAAGCGACCCGTTCAAAGAACAAATCCCCCTTGTGCATCTCAACCACCCTTTGTTACTTTTTTCACTCAGCCAATGGACAAGATTGATCATTTTGATCTAACCACGTTTATTCCAGAGGCCGTTGTGAAGCTCGAAGCTCTGATGTTTTGTGAGCCGGGATGGCCCGGTGTTCGGCCTTGTCAGGCTTGTCCTGACCTTTCTCGCGGTTGGCGAACTTGCCGTCCACCTCCACCACACGCTTCACGCACAGGGACACCTTGGATGTGTCACCGCCCTGAAGCTGCAGCTGCAAATGTAGTTGATTAATATATGTTAATATAGTTGAGTGCTGTAAGCGTGCAAGAGGCCCACAAACATATAGTGGCATACGTGCGTTGCCCCCATCTTCAACTATTGGAGGTTTGCAACTAGCAACTAGTAGTTGCGTTCTAGTTAGCTGATAGCAAAGAAGCCATCCTGGCGCCGGCAGTTCCAAGCAGCAATATGTGAGTACATGAGTGGAGAAGCGACACACAAAAGGAAGCACAGCAGTGCATCAGGATCACGCTTTCGAAGCCACAGATCCCCGCAACAACCAGATCCTAATTCCCCACCTGTCAGGTGAGGGTTGTTAAATTTTATGTCGGCTGCCTTCCTCCTCCTCATCCTCCTCCTCCGCCCCGTCTCCAACCGCCAGTTCCAGATTGCAGTCCCCCCCGGCGGACCTCAACCGCCAGCTCCAGATGGCAGTGTTCCCTCCCCACCTCAACCACGAGCTTCGGCTGGTGACCTCAACCGCGAGTTCCGCATGGCAGTGTTCCCTGCCGGACCTTAACCGCGAGCTTCGGCTGGTAGTGTTCCCCGCCGGACCTCAACCGCGAGTTCCGCTTGGCAGTGTTCCTCACCGGACCTCAAACGCCGGCTCTGTGTAGATTACTGTACTATATGTTACTATGTGTTCTCTGTGACTGTCTTGTTGGGGTGATCACTCGAAGTGCATCTGCCTGCAAGAATGTTAGTTACATGGCAACTGTGATTCTTTGCGCAAGCAGCTGTTTCTAAACAGGTTTGGGACATAGGCAACAACACACAGCAAGTATGTACACCACACAGCACGTATGTGCATGTGTGAGCCTAGGGATGGTGGGGACCTTTTGAAGTGAAGTACAGGAACTGCGTTTTAATTGCTCCTCCAGAAGCTACACTCCGGATTCAAGATAGGCTTAAAAGTTGAAGCGTCATCATCTCCATCTCCATCTATACTTACCCACCTGAGCTGTAAAGGCCCGGAGTCCTCGACCCAAACCGTTCGCATGTTACTTACCCATCGAACCCCCTCATGCCCACACGGAACGCCGCACGGACCTCCACGGTTCAGCCAGGGCGCCGTCTTCGAGTTCTGATTGTCGCCCACCGCGGAGGAGGCGATCGAGTAAAGACGGATCTTAGCAGGCTGCTCGCCCTTCCTGGGCCATCTGCGTGCTTTTGGGTCGTTTCTTCTGTCTGCGCGCATATTTTGCCAAGGCGTGTTTTGGTGGGTGGGTGGAACCCAAAAAAATGGTTGTGTCATGTTGTGTCATTGGCCATCTCAAGTCATGAAAGAACATGGACTCGCAATGGTTCACAGAATGATGGGACCAATATGGATTCACTGCTGCTTTCTGTGGTTCTATGAGGGTTTTGAACTTGAAATCTGCTGCAGTGAACCATTGGCCGCCCAAGCAGTATGAAGGTCTAGGGCCTCTCGGGCCAAACATGGGCCGTAAACCATGGGCCTCCGGCTATGGCTACATCCTTGGCATAAACAAATTCGAAAGTCGTCATAGTGGCCCCCAAATAGATAGAAGCCGTTTCCAATGCATTTTGAGTGGGGATCTACTATGATCTACTTTTCTATTTTCGGGTCGGTACAAGTATGGAGCGACTGCACAGAAACCAATCAACATTCCTCTGCTCCGAGCTTCTTGTCAGGTCCCGGCGCAATGACGCCTCAGAGGCCGTCGGCGAAGAGACCGGTCACCGACGCTCTGAACAACCTTTCTTGCTCCAAGCCACCGATGGACTGGCCCTCGATGTAAGGAACCTTGCCTCCATGGTCGAAGGTCACGTGGGTCGTCTCCCAGTTGGCATCGCCAGTGGGTTCGGTCAAGGTCTGCGGATGCACGTCATTCTCAATCACCTTTCCCTGGTAAGGCGCCTTTGGGGAGAAGAGGTTCCATGGGATCTCCTTGCCGTGCACCACCTTCACGCCCTTCTTCTTCACGGCTGCCGCACGGCACGCGGTGGTCGCCGGACGGGCTGCCAGCAGTCCCAGCCCCAGTGCTGCCGCACCAACACCCGCAGCACCGGCAAGGCCAGGGCCGGTGGACTCACGGGAGCTGTGAGGGGCACCACGGAGGGCAGGCGCAGGGGCAGGGGCGGCACTGGGTGCCAAGAAGGCGGTGCTGGCACCGAGAAGGGCTCCGACAGCAGCAGCCTGGGCCATGGTATCAATTGTGATGCAGCTTGGAGCTTGAGTGGACGGATCTGCGCGGCTCTGAGCATTGGCAAAATCATGATCCTGAAGTGATGCAAAGTGTCTGATACGAATTCTGGAAATCACTGCCAGGGTTCACTGTATTGTCAACCTATCTCTCGCTCCCTCTACCCATTGTCTCTCAATCCATTTATCTGACTATCTTGAAAGGTCTTACAGGTCTCTGGCTCCCCTCTCCCCGGGCCTCTCCACCGCCTCCGGAAAACCCTGCGGGCACCTTCACCCCGGAAGCAAAACGAACCGGCGTCCGTCCCCTACAAAGGGCATATGAGAATTAGAAGGGCGTTCCCGCAGAAGAACTCCAAAGCCTCGTGGTTGGCTCGCTGATGGGTCGGTACGAGATCTCTGAAGAAGAAGAAGAAGAAGAAGTAATGCTGAGGACCCAAACGATGAGCTGACATGACTGGCTTCAGCCTCGAATGGTGCGTTTGCCCAACAGTTGCTTCTGGAATTCACTTGGCTAATATCAACCCTACGGACCCTACGTATGAACCGTTCGTTGAATAGCTGACTCGGCGCATGATTGGGTGACCTTGTTTGCTGTGAGCTCGGTGAGAATTGCTATTTTTTGAGTAACGGAGTCGAGTCATGTACGAGTACCTCAAAGGTGATGCAGAAGCAAATCTGTTTTCGTGATTCAAGATACTCACAAAGATCCAAGATGACAGTCTCAAATGATCCATGGATGGGGTCTCACCCCATTGGGGTCACTGATTGAATGGTACCTGGCCAAGACCCGAATGGTGCCAAGATGTCCGGATCCGACGGCACGCCCGCCCCAGTCACACACTCTGACGAACACATCACAGTGGAAGGGGCAGGCCTGGTCCCTTGGAAGACTACTAGTAAGTATATATACTAATACTAATATACTTTCCTGCACAAACAGTGACAAAGAGTACATCTTTTAGCATTCTCACTTCCATTTTAATGAGCGGAGTGTAGCACCGGCCTGGTAAAAGGAAAATTGTTTCACAATCCAGTCTTCCAAACCCATTCTGGGAAGAACTTGCTTTCTTTAGCTACCCCGCTGCGCCCGTGACTCCGATCCTGAACTCCGAAAAATCTTCCCGTGACTCTGTCCGGTTCGCCTTTCTTTGAAGTGAAGCAGACAGGTCGACCTGAGATCCACATCTTGGATCTGCACGGGATCCACAGAAACCAGACTTGATATTCTTTCAAGCTGCTCCCATCGTGCATCATGACAAATATACGTCTTATAGGCATGCGGCATGCGGAGAGGGAGAAAAAAAACACATGCGCCAAGTTAGGCGTTTCCTTGGCCAAACCGGCGAATCAGCTCGGACCTCGCGTCCGGGACCTGGCACCGAATCAGCTCTTTTTTCCATCCGCCGTCAGCGCGACCGGCTGGGTCACGTGAGCCATCAGCGACCAACAACGACCAAAGGCTGCTGGGGTGTCTCGTCACCCCAAAGCTCTTTGGACCCTCATAGCTAAGGTTTTGACATGTTTTGACCCTCGCAACTAGGGTTTTGGACCTCAAACATGTATCAGTTTGAGGGTCCATTAGCCTCTGGGTGTTGGGTATCTTAAGGATGGTTCCAAACCATCCAACTGCAGTACTTGATTCTCAACGACCAGCTGCCAGTACTTGCTGCTTGTGGGTAGCTCACCCACATGGTCATTGACACCGACTCACTGCTTGTGCGAGTCCCCTTCCGGACTCGACGAACACCTTCAACCAAACCGACTGAGTGAAGGATCGCCCGGCCCTCGTCCTTCCTCACTCGCCAGGTCCGTCACGTAGAATCGGAGCGACTCGCGCGACCGTGAAGGACCTGTCCGACGTAGGGACATGCTGTCGCACCAGGCGGGTCGCACCCAATTGGTCTGTACATCAGGTGCAGGTGTCGGCCAAATGGTTGGTATAGAAACAAAGTGACCAGACTTGGGGTGGGAACAGGCTGGAAGGTGGAATGTCAGAGTCCGTCTCCTGTTGATTGAAATTGTATGTGTTTATAAATTTCTATGTATTATTTATATATAGAATTATATAGAGTTCTTACACACATTTGCACACGGTCTTGCAGGATCCTCCCAGCAAAAGAACTCTCCTCCTGAGAGAAGAGCATTTGCAAAGGTGTTTTTGGGTCGTGTGCCATACCACATGGGAGAGAAATTGTTTCTTTTGCTACAGTGCTTGCACTGTGTAGAGCTCTTGCGCGTGCCTCTTGTACAACACAACACATGAATGTTCACTTGAAAAATGCTCACATTCCATGATGTTGCAATGTCGAAAAGGTCTGGATGGACACAGGCCTGCACCGCGCAACCAACTTTACATCACCTTCTGCAGAGGATCACCTTGGCTCTTTTAATTGGTAACTGGAGACTATGCACGGTGGCTCCTATGCGAATACCGCCGGACCGCCCTGAAAAATCATTATAAAATAATTACTGTCATGCGTGGTCATGTAAGCTCTGCTCTGCCTTGCTGCTGTTCGGATTGTTCCCCAACCACGCTGCTTCCCGTCCCTCCGCCTCAGACCGCTTCACGAACTTCGACGCATCGGCGGCGGCGTCAGGTGCGACGCCGGAGCTGCAGGTCCAGGTTGGTTGCGATCCAAAAGGGCATGTCCTGGGCTGTTGCACCCTAGCAAAAACCAATGACGTGAAATGACTTGGAAAGCAAGAGATGGGGATGTTAGGCTGGACTGGGAGGTTTGGCTGGACCGGGAGGGATTTGATCGTTTTCAGGGGTGCACCATGCACCATCACAAGTCCAAAACAAGTCTTTATGGCTTTATAGCCCCATCCATGTGTGGGGCAGGAGAAATCCTCCAGGCTTCCGGTGTCTACAATGTTCACGTCAAAATAGAAGAACGACAGGAGCGAAGTGAGTGAAGTGAAGAATCTTCCGAGCTGGAATCATTGCAATGCTCCCAAAACAGAAACACATGCAATGCAGCCTATTCTGATTGTGGCTTAGAGACACAATCACGGCCTGAGTGTCACGGATCTCAGCAAAAACTGCATCAAATCCTGAGAATCTGTTCAAACAGCGAGCATTTCCTGTCTTAGTCTATTCCAGTTTTGCTTTCTGTCCACTGCCTGATGGCTCGGCCGGCACGGTGCGGAGTACCCGGAGTACCCAAACACATGGAGAACTTGGAAGACCACTACGAGTACCACCCGGTTTGGATGGCCATTGGATTTTAAACACGATGCCAGGGGTGTGGCAGAAACCACCCGAGCTGAGTGGTGGTGGTGGTGGTGGTGGTGGTGGTGGTGGTGGTCTGGTGGAGGTGGAGGAGGTGGTGTATGTTCAAGTTCTATGCCTTTCTTGCGGACGAGTCTTGCACAGCGACTGAGACATAGCGATATATATATATATATACATATGTGTGTGTGCGTGTGTGATGTGAAACATATTGAAAAATCATGTACTCTATACGTGTATGTATGTATACAGGTCGTACTATCATGTAAACATCGCCATAAGTATGTTTATCGTTCACAACTTCAACTGCAGCTAAGAATCATGCACGTTCCTCAGTCGAAGGCATGGGGGGTATGCTCGTTGAAAGCGTTTGAATGCCAATGGTCAAATCCAAGAAGGAATGCTTCACAGTGACTTAGGACAATGGATTCCACTTCGTACCACTCGTTTTCACCCCGCTCACATACAAAGAATCGTCCGTAATTAGGGTCCCTTCTTCTTAGTGATACCTTGATTTTCAGTGACGCAAGATCCCTGTAAAAATTAGTATGGTGATCTTGGCCACAGCATTTTATGAGGGGTTTCTACCAAAAATAGGGCTGCTGTCTGGCTCCACAAAAGCACGGGGCTGCACAAACAAATTCACTACAAAATGACAGGTCACAATGCGCTCACGTCAAGATTGGCAGAAAGTAATTTGTCTCCAAGTTTATGTTTCTACAAACTGAGCATTCAAAGGAATCAGGGTCTACAACATGCTTGTTGGAATGACACTGGCCGTCACACTCACGACCAAAATATATCTACAGAATCCTAGGTCTCAATGATCTTTATGGCACATACAAGCGTCTACAAAATGACCCAAGTTTTAGCAACAAAAACTGTTTTGCTATAAAATAGTTGTCTTATAGAGGTCCCAAGACCTCCCATTTTGTAGGGCAAATACTAATAGGGATGACGCCATAAACCATCGGATTTCTATGGATTTCTCTCGATCGTAGGTCTCCAACCAAGCGGAATAGGATAAGCCGCTCCACCACTCAGGGAGGGCTACGCGCCGAGTAACACACGGTCCCTCGCAAACGCGCCACAGACAAGGAATACGGTCAGTGGCCAAACATGTCAGAATCCTAGACGCTCCATTTATGCCATATAATATAAAGTATCCCCAAAACCACCCCAGTGTAGGTATATAAAAACACGACCTCACCTTGTTTTTTCCACGCGTTGCAGAAAGTTTGTCTAAATTAGAAATCA